AAGAACGCACATCATTCGTCGCTTCCAGGGGACGCCCTAGCATTAATACAATTTCTTAAAAGGATTCATTTCATTATTGTTCGACAAGTTTTACGTTGGCTGTCGACTACCTAACGCAATCCTCCACTTTTCTCATCCAGGATTGAGACCTAGCAACGGCAATGTTAACACTAAAAAAGAATATTCTATATATATTCTTTCTTATCTTTTTTTAATATTTATTATTGATCATATCATTATATTTATCAATTTTTTGAATTATACCTCTTTATGATTTTTTTTATCAAAAATAAATCTTACTCTATAAATTAATTCATAATAAAAAAATTTATGTTTGTAAATAGCACATAGTACTACGTCATTATTGACATGGCGTCGCATTTCATGACGCAAATTTTGTGTCATGAAACAGATAGCAGACGTAGATAACCTTATATACACTCTTATGAACAAATGACAAGCTTGTTTAAATAAAATATAGCATTTTGTTTGAGTAACAATTATAATTGTATTTTTCCTTAAGAAAATTAAATTTTTACTAATGTAAAAATATATAATGGAATTCTAGAATAAAATAAAATAAATTAAATTACCATAGTTGTTGTCCTTTGGCTATGGGTTCCACTTTACCTGGCTAGTTTGCAGAAGCCATATGCGTACAGCAAGCTACAGCTCAAGAGAATATAAATTGTCAAATGGCTCGAAGTCCTTTTTTTTTTTAAATAAAAGATGGCCACTTAAATTCTACTCATTAATTTTTTAAAATTTATTTCAATCAATATAATATAAATTCAAGTACTTTGAAGCTCTGTCAAAGATCTTAGGTATCTCTTTATTTATTTATTTAGGGGCATAATTCAATTTTATTTACTATAAAATATAATTACAATTAAAAAAAACAAATTAGAACTCAAAGTGAAATGAGAGATCAAGATTATATTGAGTAGGAGCAGACAACCCGAGTCATGTTTTAAGGTTCACGAGCCAGCTCATTTATAATGAAAAAAAGAAAATGATTATGATTAAAATAATTAGTATAACAAAATGATTAAAATAATAAGAAATCAGAAGAAAAATAATAAATTTCATCACTCTTATCAATCACCTCTCTTCACCTTTTCTAAGATCCACCTTGAATTTAGTTATTTAATGCACATAAAAATGATGAAATTTAATTAAATGTAACTCAAATTAAAAATAATTGTAAAGTCTACAATTTTTTTTAAAATCTCTTGAATAAGAGTCTTAAAATCTCATATTTATAATAAATTGTATAAATCAAATCATTTATGTTGAGCTCGAGTCAACTCAATTGGCTTAAAAGAGGTTGATTCCATTGATAAATCAGATCTAATTAGACAAAGTATTGGCTGCATGTGAGCTCATCATATATCTAAAAAACCTTAAAGGCCAAGAGTTAGCACATCTCTTTCTTATCACAATATTTTAATAGTCATCTTATGTCATTCATATTTACTCATTAATATAAATTTTTTCATATATAGTTATGACTATAGTGACACCTATAAATATGAGGTTAAAGGGCTAATCTAAAGAGAAAATTTAAGCTCTTTATTTTCTGTCAATAAAATATAATGGAGTTCTCCTTGTGCTTATTCTTTCCTCATCTTCCTTTTTTCTCTCATTTTTCCTCTTTCTTTCTCTATTTTTTGTAGTCAATTTTGTTACTAAGATCCAAATGTACGTCACCTACAAATAAATTTCGATTCAAAATATTTTTTTTTCCTAAATTAATTTTCTTTCTATTATAAGTAATCAATTATGAACCAACATAATAAACCTTCAAAAAATAAGATTTTCTTCATACTCGAAATAAAAAAATTAAAATAAAAATCATTTTTTAAATTTATTTTTATCTATATTGTTGAGGTTATTAGCTTTTATTTGTCACCTACAAATAAATTTGGATTCAAAATATTTTTTTTCCTAAATTAATTTTCTTTCTATTATAAGTAATCAATTATGAACCAACATAATAAACCTTCAAAAAATAAGATTTTCTTCATACTCGAAATAAAAAAATTAAAATAAAAATCATTTTTAAATTTATTTTTATCTATATTGTTGAGGTGCTTAGCTTTTATTTTGGTCCTTTAATTATTATTATTTTTCTTTATTAATACAAGAGCTCTGTCCAAAATTTTCCGAAAAAAAAAAAATCTAACATGAAGTAGTTACCCATTAGTTCTTTCTCATTTACTAATTTAATTTATTTTAATTTCTATATATGATATCTATTTTAAAAGAAATTAATGATTATACAAAAAACAATATAATAAATTTGAAATAGAATATCTGAATCAAATTTCCTCCTAATAGAAGAAAGATGACAAAATAGTACACATCTGAACTAGCCGTTGGCGACTTTAAGAAAAGAATAAAAAGAAAGAGAAAACACCATTAAAGCTGTGGGGCGGTGCCCTACAGCATTCCATTGAAAGGCCACACACGCTGGATCCATGACCCCACCATCGAGAACAAAACCCCCAACGGCTACCTTGCATCGGTGGCGCCAGATCACCGACCGTTGATCACGGGCCCAACAACGCCTTTCTCTTCTCTTCCTCTTTTCTAAACTCATTTATAACCACTAGGCAGCCAGATCCGCTTGCTCATCACAGTCTTACGTCTTCGACCTCCACCACTCTCTCTTTCTCACACTAAGCTTCCAAAGGCTGCTCGCCATGACTGTGGAAGTGAGCCCGGAGCAAACCCAAATGGTTGAATCCGCTGTGAAGGGAGAAGAGCCAGTGAAGCTGGAGGAGACTGCAGCAGAAGAGAAGAAAGCAGAGGTTTCCGATGGCAAGTATCCCTCTTCGGATCACAGCTCGGCAGTCGTTGAGAGAAGCCCCTCCTTCAAAGAGGAGAGCAACTTCCTCTCCGACCTCAAGGAGAGCGAAAGGAGGGCCTTGTTTGAGCTGCAAAGCAAGCTTGAAGAAGCCATTGCCGAAGGAAATCTTCTTAAGAAAGACAGCAAAGAGACAGATGAAGATTTTTCAATATGGGGAGTGCCTCTCTTGCCCAGCAAAGGCGGTAAGAGCACCGACGTCGTCCTCCTCAAATTCCTCCGTGCCCGTGAGTTCAAGGTCAAGGATGCATTTGATATGTTAAAGAATACGCTTCGGTGGAGGAAGGAGAATAAAGTTGATTCCATTCTCGATGAGGAGGATATCAGGGATGAGTTTGGGAAGGCGGGATTCATCAATGGTCTTGATAGGGAAGGGCATCCTGTCTGCTACAATGTTCTTGGTGTTTTCCAGGATGCTGAGATGAGCAGGATAGTATTTGGTAGCGACGAAGGACGCAAGAAGTTTTTGAGGTCGAGGGTACAGCTGATGGAGCAGGGGATCAAGGAGCTTGACATGAGACCTGGTGAGGTTTCTTCTCTGCTCCATATTACTGATCTCAAGGATGTAATTGGCTTGTCCAAGAAGGAGGTTAGGGACACCATTAAGCAGGCTGTGCATCTTCTACAAGATAATTACCCTGAATTCGTTGCAAAAAATGTAAGATCTGTTCATGCCCTTCCATAGATTATGAATCATTTTCAGCTATTCCTATTAACGACTGTCAGATGGCAGATAGCACATTTTAATTGTAAAGTTTTGTTTTTTTGTTTGATGAAGTTTATTTGTTATTTTGAAGTTCACTTAAATTAAAATAGTTTTCTACCTTTAAAGTCAATTTTAATTTTTTTAATTACTAATAGGATTTCATTTTGGCAGAAATACAGCTAACTATCTTTCAAATTAGGCCAAACAAGCAAAGAGAACTTGATTTGTTTTCATGCTTCTGCAGGTAATAATCAACGCCCCTTTTTGGTACTATGCTCTCAATGCAATCCTATCCCCTTTCCTAACTCAGAGAACAAAAAGCAAATTTGTTGTTGTTCGTCCTGCAAAGGTTACCGAAACTCTTCTCAAGTAAGCCGTTCGTTTCTGTTTGAAAATCTTTTGGGCCTCACTAAAATTTGAAAATTAAGTCACTCTGACAAAAAAAAAATGTTATTCTTTGTCAGATATATTTCTCCTGAGGCTATTCCTACACAGTATGGTGGTCTTAAACGTGAGAATGACAACGAGTTCTCAATGGAAGAAGGGAGAGTATTAGAACTGACCGTTAAAGCTGCTTCGGTTGGGACAATTGAAATCCCTGCACTTGAGGTATGGCTACTTCTGTCAAATCTCTATAGTGCTCTTCCAGTGAATTCGAGGTTGTCGTCAGTTTGAAAAGGCTTTGTTTTTGTTTTGTTTTGTTTTTCAGTTTCACTTGAAGAAAGACATATATCATTATTGCTTGTTTTGCAACGCTCTAATCTCCCGGATGACAACTCATAAGTTGTTTTCACAGTTGAATAATACATAAAATAGAAGCAGAATTATCAGAACATAAAACATATTTCCTATATTTAATATCTTCTTCTGAAATTACAAACCTGAAAATATAAAATAGAGGTGAATCCAAACATGAACAAAGAATTTATCTGCTTACAACTTTTTGAAGGTCCTACACATACCTTATGATGTTCAAAGCTATAAAGAATAGTAGTAGTTTGTGTTGATTCTTAAAAATCATCTTCTATGTATATTAGGTGAAATACAAGTGTTTGCTTGTTTTCTGTTGTTGATTTGTATCTTCATATAAAATGCAGACAGGAACAACTCTCCTCTGGGATTTTGTTGTCCTGGGTTGGGAAGTGAACTATACAGCAGAGTTTGTGCCAAGTGATGAAGGTTCTTATACAATAATTGTTCAGAAAGGAAAGAGAATAGCATCTCAGGAGGAGCCAATCCGCAACTCATTTCGGAACAACGAGCCTGGCAAAGTTATTCTCACCATTGAAAACAGCACATTGAAGAAGAAGAGGGTTTTCTATAGGTACAAGGTGATAAGTGCTTGACTGCTTTCATTCTTTTGAGAAAGTGAGACTTTGTGGAAGTAGAATCATTCTTTTAGGATATTTGAACGTTTATGATTTGGAGAGTTTAACGTGGAAAAGTTTGTGAGTCGGTTACAGTATACTTTTTAGGATTATTGTTAAGTTATAGAACATTATCATTCTTTCAAGGTTGAGTATTGATTTCCGACGTCCAGATTTTATTCTATTTTCATTATGATTGTAATAACAATATATGTTATGGAGTTTTTATCTCATTTGTGTTGTGTGCAAGCTTTCTTTCAATAATGAAATTTGTGATGAAGAGTTTAACAAAATAGTAATCTTCCCTAAAGTAAGTGCAATAAAATTTTCACGTCTTCTACAGATTTGTAGTGAGGAGATTAAAAGATTCATGTGGTCAGAGAATGAGTTTGTTTTGTATCTTGTAGTGATCTGATTATTTTTTTCATTTTTTGTATGCCTTATATTCTCATTTTGATGAACAGAAGCCATAATGTAATGACAACCGTGAAGGACAACTCACACACAGCAAGTTCCAAATTAATAATATAGCTTAATACATAGTGCGTGGTCCTCCCTGTTATTTAAATCAAATAAACCATTTCTCACCTTTGAGCTTTTCGTTTGGGACAGCTTTCTTGCTGCTTCTTAAAACAGCTTTTTAGTTTAAAAATTAACTAAAAAACTGCTTTAAGAAGCAATTAAAAAGCCAGTCTAAAAAAATTAAGTAGAAAAGAGGGGAGGTATGCTCTGCTCATTCCTGAACAAGTTATTAGGATCAACATTACCCTTCACGTAAGCCAATCTCTTGAAGTTACCTTTATAGTACCTTTCACCCCACCTTCTTGCCTCCCAATAACTTGTCTTGTTCCCCATAACGTCCGTTCCAATGTCTAAATCCCTGTAGTTCAGATAAGCAGCCCTTGGATTCTTAGAAACATAAGGAGTCATGAACTTGTAAAACCTCCTCAGCCAATCCACATGCTTCTTACTTACTGCAGCATTATTTTCCACCCACCTCTCTGTCAAATAATGAACGTTATAAAGGTTTCCTTTCCTATGAGGAAAGGCTGTCTCAGTCTCAGAGATTTCATCCATTCTCCCACCCCACGGATCTATGATCATCATAGGTTGCTCTCCTTTCTTGAGGAAACGCCTCAGTATTCTACTCCAGCCTTCTAATGGGATGGGTTTTGTGAAGAAGTCGGATTTGTGCTTGAAGGAGGTGTTGTACACAGGAGAATATCTCTCAAGCAGAATGCTCAAAGGCTTCCCTTGGTATCCTGCAAATAAATTAAATTAATTTTGTTAGCTTCTATTTCAACAAATTTAAATATGTATATTCACATACACATATTGTTTTGAAATTGGATTGCATATTTAAATTTAATATTATTTTAAAATTGTGATTGGAAATATATTCATTAATGATTTATACATCCTCATTTTTCGCTCTTCTTATTTCACTTGAAATATGTATGAAGCGAAGAGACACAATGAGGTGGTATAAAGAGTGGTCGGTATAATCTCTCATTCTAGTAATGAATTTTTTTGTGTGATGTGACTTAGTTGTTTTTTCTGATTTTGAATTTTCATATTAAATCTTGGTGTTCTTTTTTTTTTTCGCTATGTGATTATACTTCAATAGAGAGAAGTTCATTTATCAAAAATATTTTTTATTGCGTCTTGGAATATTCACAGCGGTAGAGAAATATATAGACTAACGTTTTAGAGTTGTATGAAGATCCAGCACACAAACAGATGAAAAAGAGGGTGCAGCATTCATAAGAGACAGCAAGATTTTTACGTAGAAACCCCTAAAAAGGGGAAAAATCATGGATCTGACCCTGTTTGAATGAATACACTAGTATTGTAGTCGATTACAAATGAGGCTCTCTTCATTGGGGGGAAGGCTTTGGCTTGATGTAATAAATATCTTATAAATTGCATTACATGAGCGAACTTGAAATAATCATTAATGATATGTTGCTTGGTCGACAAGACCATAATTGACGGGAGATGAAGGTCAAAAAGACCGTTCCAGTATGGTGGTAGTCGGAAGGACCGTAATTAACGAAGGAGGTCAGAAGGACCATAGTCGGCGGACAAATGTGGTCGAAAGGACCATTATTGGCAAACTACGAAGGTAGGAAAAACCATTGCCAGGCGACAGAGGTCAAAAAACCCGTAATCGACGAAGGAGGTCGGAAGGACCATAACCAGCTGACGACGGAGGTCAAAAGAACCGTTGTTGGAGGGTGACGGAGGTCGAAAGTCCTGCGATGCGCGGAAGTTTGGCGTCAGGTAGAAGTTCGATGATGGACGGAAGTCCAGGGACGAGAAGAAGTCCGACGTCGGATAGAAATCTGGCGACAAGCTGAAGTCCTGCATTGGGTATAAGTTTGGCGACGGGTAGAAGTTTGGTGACAGGTAGAAGTCCGACATTAGGTGGAAGTCCTACTTAGGGTAGAAATTCGGTGACGGACGAAAGTCCAGCGTCGAGTAGAAATTTGGTGACGGGCCGAAGTCCGGTGTCAGTTGGTGGCCGGGCAGAAATCCGACATCAGTTGGTGGCCGGGTAGAAATCCGACGTCAGTCGGCGGTTGGGCAGAACTCCGGCATCAATCGCCTGTTGGGTGGAAGTCCAACGGTGGTTAAGGAAGATATTGGTGGCAAGAGAGCTCTCTTCCTTCTCTTCTTCCTTCCTTGCTTGGGGCCCTCCTTCCTACTCTCTCCATCAAAAATGATAGGTCTATTTATAGATTTATGAGAGTGGCATGTCCAATAAATAATAGGAAGTTCAAGGGTATATGGGGAGTGGTTTGATGAATGGACGGCCGATGTTGAATCCCTTGATCGTGGACCACTTATTGTGCATTTTAATGTCATAATGATACTAGAATTTGGTGATCTTGGGCTTGTTGGATTCGTCTAGCCGCTCGATTTGACTATAAGCATGTCACATTTGAAGACCATTTGGTAATCAAATTTATGGTTTGAAACTTTGAAATGCGCTTCAAGTCTTTGATTTGGACTCATTTGTGCTCAGATTGAGTTGAATTTGATGTTGTTGGGTTCGCATTTCCGAGAAGTTCAATTCAACTGTAAGTTTGCTAAAATCAGAGTTCAAATGGTCTCTGATTTGATCTATGATTTAATTTTTGAAGTTTTCAACTTGATTTTTGTCTTGAGATTCGTGCCCAATAAAGATAATTTTTTAATGATATATCAATTTTAAAACAAAATTTAATTAAAATCTGCTAGCCAAATAACTAAAAAAAACTAGCACCTTTACCTGCAAAATAAAGAACTGACTCAATCCAGCGCATCTCAATACAATCCTCTGCCTTCAACTGGAGTTCCGGAAACCAATCCTCCATGATAAGAAGCAGCTCTTTCATCTCACCAACGAACAGCGAGTTAAAAGAAACCTGTACTGTTCTTTTTGTCTTATTCTGATCGTCATATTCACTATCATTTCCCACCACCGTAAAAACTGTTCTTATAAACAATCTCTTATCCACCTTATGAGCTATTCGCTGCCATTTATCCACAAGCTTCGTCGCTCCCTCCTCCAATGTCTTTGAGACTGTGAACACAGTTACCTTGTTTGGAACCTCCACAAGCCTCACCTTATAAGCCAGAATAATCCCAAAGCTCGCTCCTCCTCCGCCTCTCAACGCCCAAAATAGATCTTCCCCCATGATTTTTCTATCCACTATCTCTCCGCTTGCGACGACGATTCGGATGTCTTCCACGTTGTCGCTCGCCAACCCGAAAGACCTGTAAAAACAATTATAGTAGGAATACATATTACAAAATTATAAGAGCTCAAAGTCTGACTATTTTTATTTCGTTAGTGTAATTGTGTAATTCCCAGGAGGTCATTTATTATAGGATTTTTCATATTTATAGTAAAATATATTTAATACTTTAAAATAAATAAACAAACTCTCATAAAAATATTTGATGGTTAGCCCCAACTTTATTAATTAATTTCAAAATTAAAACCTGATCATCGTCCCCAATCCACCTCCGCTTAAATGTCCGCCTACGCCGACTGTCGGACAGAGGCCCGCCGGAAATGCGACGGTGCTACTCTTGTTAGCTATGGTGTGGTAGAGCTTGCCAAGAGAAGCACCTGCTTGCACCCAAGCTGTACGAGAGTACCTATAATCCACGTTAATGGAGGATAAAAATTGGAGATCGATAAGCACGAACTGGCTCGAAGTGGAAGTGTAGGAGAGACCCTCATAGTCATGGCCACCGCTTCGGGTGCGGATAGGAATGGAGAGGCTGCCGGAGCAGAGAACGGCAGCTTGAACGTGATTTTCTACGGCGGGGAGGAAGATGAGAAGTGGCTTGAAGGAGTTGAGGAGGGCGCGGCGGTTGCGGACGGAGGAGAAGAAGAAGTAGTTGTAGGAAGGGGAGTGAGGAGTGAAGTAGAGATGGGAGGGAACAGAGTGGTTGCGGAGGCATTGTATGTAAGAGTTCTGACCGAGTTTGTTGTATTGATCAGCGTTAATGGCGTTGGAAGAAAGTAAGAGGAAGAAGATAGATGGAAGGATGAGGAGTTCAATGGAGGAGGGGATAAGGAGGTTCTTCATCCCCCTTCTTTTTTTGGTTTGTGGTGTTGGGGTGCGTGCATTAATTTCTCTAATTAAATGGGTAAATTAGATGCTCAACAAATTTTAGGAGAGATTATTGGGTTTGGACATAGGATAAGGGTTACCGATTGCTACTTCAGAGTACCGAGTAATACTGAACTCGATGTTGTGAAGTATTGAGTTCGGTACTCCACAGTACCGAGCAGTACTGAGCTCAGTACCGCTCGGTACTGTGGAGTACCGAGTTCATACAGAGCTCAGTACCTAGTAAGTGGTGATGTGGCGCATTTTCATTGGGCTCTGGACGTCGTCCGGTGTCCGAACCCAACAATTTCCAAAATTTTATGGAATTACATGCGAGGTAGTTAAAATTATTTAATTTATATATGTGAAATTTAAATTCATTATTTACATACTATAATTTTTTAATATATTACATTACCAATTTTTGTCAAAGTCCTCAACAATGAAGAGAAATTCGAGATGGGTTTTGACCGGTCAATTAAAAAAAAAAAAAAAAAGAAATCACAATGAGATCTCATTAGGATGAGGATTCAAAACATGACCAATGTATTGATGACAAGCGGTGGGTTTTCATTGGTGAATGCAACGGGACCATCGATTTGATTCGATAATCAGACTAAATTAATATTTTTTCTTATTTAAAAATTTAAATGATAGGTATGTAAATAAGAAAATTTAAGTATTAATTATATAATTATACGTGTTTTGCATGTAAATTTTCCAAATATTTAACGTGGGCTTATATATTCATATTAATTATATATTTTACGGTATTTAAAATTTTATTAAATTATGATTAAATTTAAATTTATTATTGAATTTTTTAGGAAATGAAATAGATGTCAAATTTCTTTTATTTTATTTTTATGATGAGTTAAAATAAAATGAAATACACCGTACGACAATTTTCTTATCGTCTAATATTGTATCCTTAGCAAATAAGACCCTTTTTAAGAACTTTGGAAACATTAATAATTTTTTATTTTTTCCGCGAATAAATTCAGATAAAATTTCGACTTTTTTTATAATTTAATATAAAATATTTATTCCGTCAATATTATTTTCGTCGCTTGTGAATGTTTTTTAAGAAGTTTTGTTTTTTTTCTTTTAAATGTCGTGGCCGTCCCGTATATTTTAAATAAAACTTCTTTGATAAATTTCTAATAAGTTTTTTTTTTCTTTTGTTTTTTTTTTATTACTTATTGGTTTAGCTTATTTTAATATGTTCTATATCATAAGAAGTTTTATTTATTTGGACTGTTAGCTTGGATTGTTAGCTTGGAATGGAATCAAAAACTGTTCATTGATAGCAGAAGTTAGGGGTGTCAATATTGGACCTGATCGGAAAATTCGATCCGAAAATTTTCGGGCTTGGTTTGACCCGAACCCAAAATGGGTCGGATTCGGGTTCAACAATTCAACCCGTTTCAAAAATCAGTTCCATTTCGGATTGACCCTTTGACCCAAAATTAACCTAAAAACCCGAAATTGGCCCGACAACCCAATGTTGACCCGTTTTGACCCGAAAAACAAAGATTGACCTATTTTTTTACCCGAAAACTAGCACTTTTTTGTTGACACCGGGTCATTCGGGTGGGGTTAGGTTGAACCGGACCTGAAGAGGGTCAAGTTCGGGTTCGGAAAATCGACCCGTTTGCAAAAAAAAAAAAAAAAACATATCAGATTCGGGTTGACCCGAAAAGTGTCGGGTCAGTTTCGGGTTCGACCCGAACCCGACCTGTGACCCAAAATTGACACCCATAGCAAAAGTCTTTAAAAGTACTTTTTAAGATTTTAAATTGAGTTTCTTTAATATTAAATTTATATTTTTTTTATTTCAAAATTTTATTTGATTGCCATTTTTAGTGCTCTGATTTCGCTCACGTTAGAGATATAAACAAATTTAGTCAAGCTCGAGTCATCATTGACATGAGTTTGAGCTTGATAAATTAATTGAGTTGGTTCAATTGGAGTGTGAGCTGAAGCTTAATTTTGTGAATTTGTTTTAGCTCATTTTAGCGAAAGAAAGAAATTCAAGCACTTATTATAATAAATTATAAAACAAATGTGAAATTAGAAGATAAATAATAAAGAATCGCATAATATAAGAAAGTGAGATATAATTTTACAGAGTGGTTTACATACATACAACTTTATATAATGTTATTTTACATCCAAAACTTTAATATTTCATGCCTACCATTATAGACAACCTTAATATCAAATATGTCACTCTTATATTTTATTCCTACCACCCATAGACAACTTAAATATCAAATTAGTCACTCATATATTTTATTTCTACCACCCAGATATTCATATAAACTTTAATATTTCATTCGTTGCACACATATTTGATATATGGGTGATAGTCATAAAATATTAAAGTTTTTTTTTTTGTGGTAGATATGTAAATAATATGATATAAAATGATATTTACATAAATCCCTCAATTTTAAAATATTTTTGATATTTTAATACCTGAACTCTTGAATTCTAATATATATTTAAGTGTATTTATATTAATATTTTTTAAATAGTACAGCTCGTGAGCTAATGAGTCAAGTTTAAGTTGGTTGAAACTTTACTCATGAGCTCATCAAGATTAGCCCATGAGTCATTTATTGAGCTGAGCTTAAGTTAACTCTCAAGCTTACTTGACTGACTTAAACCTCTGATTTGAGCAATTCTATTAGGCAAAATTAATACTTTTCAACGTAAAATGTGATGTCAGCGTGAGCTTAGTTTTACAAATTTAATTACAATGTTTTTATTTTTTTATTTTTGCAATTTTGTTGGTTGTGGCTTTGGATTTTTATGGTTAGGGCTCATATTATTGATTGGAATTAGAAATTAGGATTCAAAACAATTAAATTTGTCAAATTTATCGTTTAATTGAAAGTAGTTGACATCAATATTGATTTTAAGTTCTACAAATATTATCATATTTACTTTAAAAAATAATAATTTGATTTTTACACTCAATATGAGAGAAAAAAAAATTATTTCAATTTTTTATTTTCAAGAAATCAAATGAATCATGGGTTTCACTATTGATTTTTATTTTTTAAATTATATACTAATCTTTTATTTTTCATGATTTTTCAAATAAATTTTTTTAATGATAAATGCATTATTATTTTATTGAACTTCTAGTTGAGTTTCGATGATTTTGAATGAATTTTATTTGTCTAATTTGATGATACCAACAAGTCTTTTTTAAGTTATTATTATTTTTTTATTATTTTTATTATGTTTAATGTCCATATATAAATTTGATGTAGATAAAATTTAATCTTAAGGACTTGATAATATTTATAAAGAATATTTTGAACTAAAGTAATTGACACCATCGATTAAGGGATTTGGGCCGGGACAGCTTTTATGCTGCTTCCTAAAGCATTTTTCAGTAATAATTTTTTTAAATTAAAAATTTTTACTAGAAAGTTACTTTAGAAATCAACGAGAAAGTCGTCCCAAATGAAGTCTTAGGCTTCGTTTGTGACGGCTTTCTTACTGCTTCTTAAAACAACTTTTTAGTATAAAAATTAAAATTTTTTATTAAAAAAATGTTTTAAGAAACAATAAAAAAGTTGTCCCAATCAAAATCTTAATTGCTTTTGTAAAAACTAGCAACCCAATGATGATTGAACAGCTCCCATTTTCCCTTTTTTGTCACTAATAATTATGTATTAATTAATTCTTGATTATAGAACTCATAATTGGTTGTCCAATGCCTATAAACCTTTTTTTTTTCCAAATGTAAGAAAAAAGATAAAACCACAGAAAACAAACTGACAAAAAATACAAGCTAAGAAGATGGCTCAGCGATCAGTCAAGGCTCCCAGCATCCCGTCAACCCGCACAGGCCGTCCAGTCAATGAAGAGCAAAACCCAAAAAGCCAACCCGAATCCCTGACCAACGGTTGCCACCAGCAAAGCTGATCGGGACGCGAGCCCCGTCCACATCATTGAGCATAGCCACAAAAACCTGCCAATCCAACCATAAAACCAACAAAAACCGAGCAACAGCAAGAAGAACAACAAAGCTAACGGAAACTCATCGCCTACGACGGCCCCTCCCCCAAAATTTCCCCCGAGTGGCAACATTTTTATTAAATCCAATCACAAAATCATTGTCAGAATTATTTAACTCAGACTCCGATTCAGTATCCGACGAATCAACCCGCCAATCTCCCTGTTTTCTAATCGTCAAACCAGATGAATTACCCATACAGGTAGCCATCTCTTGAACATCCACCTCATTGACTGGCACCACAACCAAGTTGTTGGTAGAAGAAAGCTTTTCCACACTAACCATATGCGTAGACTCATCCACAATCCCGACAGAAACAACAGGTACCCCACCATCAGTACCACTTTCCAAATTCTTTGACACCTGCAAACCGCCATTTTCAACCACAACACCCATAATAGGTGAAACCTCAGAACCCGCTGGCGGTACCGAGTCACAAACAGCCGCCAGAGGTTCCAAATTAAAAGCCGCAAGATCAGAAACATTCAACAAACCCGAAGGAAAAAAAGGGGTAGCCTTATGCGACAGAACACAATCACCAGCATCAGCCGGCAAATTACCACAATCACTAGCCAACAACGGGCAAATACTAACACCCACCGTATTACCCAAATTAATCGGGACAATCCAAGCAGCCGGCGAATCGCCCAAAGGCTCCACAGTGAGCAAATCCACCCCAGCCATCTCAGAATTAACCATAACATTAGCCACATTTTTCCGGAACAGAGGAAACATCCAAACCGTCATTTAACACACCAACATCCGGTAAAATCTCAACAGGATCAATCACAATAGCAGGTTTACCAAAGATAGAATCAGATTTGCACTTACCAAACACATGCCCTAAACATTTACAAACACTACAAAAATGAGGAAATTCATCAAAAACCACATCCTGAACATACCCTAGAGCCTCATATCCTAACCAAACTTGCTTCGTATACGTTTTGGTAATATCAATTTCAACTAAAACACGAGCATTGGACGGAC